AATCTTCCTCGGCCTGGGGCTCCATGCAAGATCTCACCTCGTGGAGTTGCAATGATCATGAGAAGGGTGAGGAATCAGTCCGGAACTACACGGGAGGATCTTGTCAATGATCTCATGGCAGCTGGGACCATAGTCACCAAGATAAATTGGTAACACACTACGCTCTGAAGGACTGAAATCCTGCAGCACCCGCACGGTCTCCCAGCTCAAGAAAGCAGATATACATGCCCGTCTGAAGTTTGCCAATGAACATCTGAATGATTCAGAGGACAACTGGGTGAAAGTGTTGCGTTCAGATGATACCAAAATGGAGCTCTTTGGCATCAACTCAACTCGCCGTGTTTGGAGGAATGCTGCCTATGACCAAAAGAACACCATCCCCACATTCTTAGTTTTTTCGGTAAAGTCACGTTGAAGAGAAACAACAAAATAACAAAATATATAAAACAATAAAAAATTCTCACGACGTTTCGACCATAACTCAAACGGTCATCATCAGGTGTGTCGGTTTCCATAAATTTATTTTTAAAACGGCACATTTATTTATTTATAAAAAACGTTGGCGTCACGCGCAGCGATTGGCAGTTTGCCCAGGACTAGTCCATCTATTTTTTTGAAAAGAGGAGGGGGGAGACGAAATTTTTTATAATGTATGCTGTCTGAAAGCCACTGTAAGCGTGAACAATCAATCAAGAACTGAAATGATTTATCAAATCTTTCCAATGATTGCTAAGATAGAATCCATCTTCTCGGTTGAAATTGTCTCTGTGCTTGTATATGTGGATAGCCTCATGAACGAATCTCTCATGGAAGCCAGATGGCTTACAAAGAACCTCCGTCTTGGAAAAGTTAATGGCATGTGAGCCTACTGAATTAGAACAATGATCTGCTACGGCCGAGGTGTTGGTCCTACCGTGTTTAAGGTCTGCTTTATGTTCACGAATGCGGTCCGAGACATGGCGTTTGGTTTCTCCAATGTAACTACTACCACAGAGGCAACTTAGTTTGTAGACACCAGGGTATTGTATGTCCGGAATCACATCTTTTACAGACGGAACCAGATCACGGATTTTATGTAATGTGTTGAAACGGACCTGGATCTTGTGTTTATTCAAGATTTTGGAGATCTTTTTTGTGATCCCAGCAATGTAGGGTAAAGTGATGGTTTTGAAAGGCTCCTCAAGAGGGTTCTTCTTCATGGTTTGAGTGATAGCTTTGCGGATTGTATAGTCGGAGTAACCATTAGCCCTAAGAGCTTGGTGTACGTGCTTGAGTTCACTGCTTATGTGTTCCTGGTCGGATATGCATTGGGCTCTATGATACAGAGTCTTGATGAGAGAATTCTTCTGTGATGGATGGTGGTGGGAATCCGGTTTCAGATAAGCATCCGTATGGGTAGCTTTCCTGTAGACAGAGTGGCTCATTGAACCATCAGGTCTCTTTTTAATTAGGACATCCAAAAAAGGTATCTTGCCATCTATTTCGACTTCCATGGTAAATCTGATGGCTGGGTGTATGGAATTGATGTGGTCGAAGAATTGGTCTAGAGCAGGCCGGCCATGTGGCCAGATGACAAAAGTGTCATCCACGTACCTCTTCCATAAGGTTGGGCGCAGAGAGGCAGTCTGGATGGCGTCAGTCTCAAATTTCTCCATGAAAATGTTAGCTATAACTGGAGAAAGGGGGGAGCCCATTGGGGTGCCCTCAGTTTGTTTGTAGAAAGTTCCATTCCAAGTGAAGTATGTATTGGTTAAACAGTGTCTCACCAGGGGGGGTACCTCAGTGTTTAGTCCTTGATGAACCAAGTCTTCAATGATTGCAATGGTGTCAGGTACAGGAACCTTGGTGAATAAGGAAACTACATCAAAACTGACAAGCAGGTCGTCTGGGGACAGGGAAATACCCTTGATTGTTGATACCAGGTGAGTAGAATTTTGTACCGCAGAGGTGGTCTGAAATCCTGCGTCCTTTCACTGGAAAGACCACCTCTGCAGTACAAAATTCTACTCACCTGGTATCAACAATCAAGGGTATTTCCCTGTCCCCAGACGACCTGCTTGTCAGTTTTGATGTAGTTTCCTTATTCACCAAGGTTCCTGTACCTGACACCATTGCAATCATTGAAGACTTGGTTCATCAAGGACTAAACACTGAGGTACCCCCCCTGGTGAGACACGGTTTAACCAATACATACTTCACTTGGAATGGAACTTTCTACAAACAAACTGAGGGCACCCCAATGGGCTCCCCCCTTTCTCCAGTTATAGCTAACATTTTCATGGAGAAATTTGAGACTGACGCCATCCAGACTGCCACTCTGCGCCCAACCTTATGGAAGAGGTACGTGGATGACACTTTTGTCATCTGGCCACATGGCCGGTCTGCTCTAGACCAATTCTTCGACCACATCAATTCCATACACCCAGTCATCAGATTTACCATGGAAGTCGAAATAGATGGCAAGATACCTTTTTTGGATGTCCTAATTAAAAAGAGACCTGATGGTTCAATGAGCCACTCTGTCTACAGGAAAGCTACCCATACGGATGCTTATCTGAAACCGGATTCCCACCACCATCCATCACAGAAGAATTCTCTCATCAAGACTCTGTATCATAGAGCCCAATGCATATCCGACCAGGAACACATAAGCAGTGAACTCAAGCACGTACCCCAAGCTCTTAGGGCTAATGGTTACTCCGACTATACAATCTGCAAAGCTATCACTCAAACCATGAAGAAGAACCCTCTTGAGGAGCCTTTCAAAACCATCACTTTACCCTACATTGCTGGGATCACAAAAAAGATCTCCAAAATCTTGAATAAACACAAGATCCAGGTCCGTTTCAACACATTACATAAAATCCGTGATCTGGTTCCGTCTGTAAAAGATGTGATTCCGGACATACAATACCCTGGTGTCTACAAACTAAGTTGCCTCTGTGGTAGTAGTTACATTGGAGAAACCAAACGCCATGTCTCGGACCGCATTCGTGAACATAAAGCAGACCTTAAACACGGTAGGACCAACACCTCGGCCGTAGCAGATCATTGTTCTAATTCAGTAGGCTCACATGCCATTGACTTTTCCAAGACGGAGGTTCTTTGTAAGCCATCTGGCTTCCATGAGAGATTCGTTCATGAGGCTATCCACATATACAAGCACAGAGACAATTTCAACCGAGAAGATGGATTCTATCTTAGCAATCATTGGAAAGATTTGATAAATCATTTCAGTTCTTGATTGATTGTTCACGCTTACAGTGGCTTTCAGACAGCATACATTATAAAAAATTTCGTCTCCCCCCTCCTCTTTTAAAAAAAAATAGATGGACTAGTCCTGGGCAAACTGCCAATCGCTGCGCGTGACGCCAACGTTTTTTTTATAAATAAATAAATGTGCCGTTTTAAAAATAAATTTATGCAAACCGACACACCTGATGATGACCGTTTGAGTTATGGTCGAAACGTCGTGATAATTTTTTATTGTTTTATATATATTTTGTTATTTTGTTGTTTCTCTTCAACGTGACTTTACCGAAAAAACTAAGAATATGAATTACTGCAGTCACGAAAGCTTTAAATCAAAATTTACCATCCCCACTGTCAAACATGGAGGTGGAAACATTATGCTTTGGGGGTGTTTTTCTGCTAAGGGGACAGGACAACTTCACTGCATCAAAGGGACGATGGACGGGGCCGTGTACCGTCAAATCTTGTGTGAGAACCTCCTTCCCTCAGCCAGGGCATTGAAAATGGGTCGTGGATGGGTATTCCTGCATGACAATGACCCAAAACACACGGCTAAGGCAATATAGGAGTAGCTCAAGAAGAAGCACATTAAGGTCCTGGAGTGGCCTAGCCAGTCTCCAGATCTTAATCCCATAGAAAATCTGTGGAGGGAGCTGAAGGTTCGAGTCGCCAAACGTCAGCCTCGAAACCTGAATGACTTGGGTAAGATCTGCAAAGAGGAGTGGGACAAAATCCCTCCTGAGATGTGGGCAAACCTGGTGGCCAACTACAAGAAACGTCTGACCTCTGTGATTGCCAACAAGGGTTTTGCCACCAAGTACTAAGTCATGTAATGCAGAGGGGTCAAATACTTATTTCCCTCATTAAAACGATTGATCGAATGTCTTCTGTGCTGGCAGGGGGAGCACCGCGGCCTGCAGCTATTTGTTTATCTGCTGCGCTGTGCTGCGTGCGCGCGATTCGTCTTATGGGGGAGGGGGGCCTCGAGATGACACTGTCATGGGGGTGACGCTCAAAACTCAACACAGAGAGATTCAACCTAGAAAATCCAATTCAATTCACTGCATCATCTCCAGACTGAACCTGCTGCTGCACTGCCACTCCCTTCCACAGCTGCGAGATGTTAACTACCTTGCGTCGTATACTGGAGGTCGTGGGTTCGATCCTGGTCCTCCGAGTTTTCCCTCCACATTTAGAAACGTGCATTTAGAGTTTGGTTGCTATATATTTCCACGTGATCAGCCACTTCGTTGAGCTGTCATTTGTGATAGACAGGTCGCTTCTGAAAAAAGCAACATAGTTCAGTGGGCCTTACCTGATAAAAATAACCCCAAGACTACAACACCGGGTTTGCACTCGTGTGGTCACGCATCCAAGATCTAAGCAGATCTAACAATTGGTTTATTAATATAAATTGTATTAAAGTGTTGAGGTTAATCGACAACCCGGCTCTGGCGAGAGCCTTGGTTGAGGGTCTCAGGGTGCTGGTCCCACCACCGGTCTGCTACAACCTGGCTCTAACCAGAGCCTCGGTTGAGGGTCCCAGGGTGCTGGTCCAGTCTTCAAGTCTTCAGACGTCTTCAGGCTTGAGTTGGCGAACACTGCCGGACCCGTTCAGAGGGCCGGATTTTTATCCCCAAGTCGGGGCTTACCCCTCCCATAATGACCCCACCCCCCCTCCAGAACCTTCTGGAAGGTCGTAAAGGGTCTTAAAATTGGTGGGCGGTCTCTATCCCCGCCCCCCCAGGCCCCAGCCCTTGGGGTTCTGGGGTGTCAACCTCCGGTCATGGGCCACCCGAGGGGGGTTTTACCCCATGACCATGGTGGCAGGTAAAGCGACCTACAGCACTTCTTTATAATGCAACATTACCCCCACCTCCGTAGCACCCAGCCGTCCCAGCTGGCAACAATCCCAAAGGGTAAGTTAACGAACAAGGTACGCGAGCCTCAACAGGAACAAAGATAACAGCAAAAGCAACAACAAGAACTGCGAGGAAGGTAAGTGACCCGCCATAAATACCCTAACCCATCTGTACAAATTTACACGATACACAACCGCTAATCAACGAAAAGGCGAGGCTCAATGTGAAGTGTGTGTGGGGCACATAAGCAAGTCGGGGGTCAGGAAAATCTGAGTAATGGACCGGGTCCTCATGGCTGGGGTCGTTCGGGTCGGGTGTCATGGGGGGGGCGGGGGAGCTCCTCCTGGCTTGGTACGGTGAAGCCGACGTCAATGGCGCCGGCGCAGGCGTCAGTCGTGTGGCGCCTGGGGAAAGGGGCAAGGGCTCCCCTTGTAACTCCGCGTCAGCAGGCACGCAACCCTGGTCGCTGGACACCTCACACAACTGGCCCGGACTAAGGGAGGATGAAACAGCAGCACGTGACACAAAGAACGGCTTAAGATGTGACGGATGCACGTACCAGCTGCGGCGACCCCACCGAATTCCACGCATTGGGGCCGGACTACACGCACCACGTCAACGGCCCCCCGCCATAGTTTAGCCAATTTGGGGGACGTCCTCACGGGGACCTGGGGGCAGTGAAGCCACGCTTTGTCGCCCGAACGCCACCTGTGGGCAGATATGCGGGAGGTCTGCAGGCATTTGCTAACGCCCTGTCGAGCCTCAGCATTGATCCCAGCCGCCTCACGCGCCTTGGTCAGCCTCTCGATATTAAAGCGAAGCGTGTCGGGGAAAGCGGCAGGCCGTTTGGGTGGAGCCACACCAAGTTGTACGTCGACAGGGGGTTCATACTCCCTGCCGTACATAAGATAGAAGGGTGAGTAGCCGGTTGAAGTGTGGGGGGCCATGCGGTAAGTGGCCAGCACGCCAGGAATGCACAAGTCCCAATCCTGCTGGGACTCGCTCACCTGGTGGCTAAGCATCGTCGTAAGTGTCCAGTTGAAACTCTCCACCATGCCATTCGTTTGCGGATGGTATGGGGACGTGCACACCTTAGAAGTACCAAGCAGGGAGCACATGTCACAGAGCAAATTGTAAGATACATTTTTCCCTTGATCCGTAAGAAGTCATTCTGGTGCCCCCTTATCCATCACGTACCCATTAAGGAACGCCTCTGTGATGGCCGCTGCAGCCTGGTTGGGAAGAGGCCAGGCCATGGGCCAACGTGTAAAATACTCCGCCAGAACCAACAGAAACCGATTTCCACGAGGGGTGGCCGGAAAGGTCCCTAAGATGTCAAGAGCGACAAGCTCATTGACCCGCGAAACCCTTATGGATTGTTGCCAGCCAGGACGGCTGGGTGCTACGGAGGGGGAGGTGATGTTGCACCTTAACAAGGCACTGTAGGTCGCTTTACCTGCCACCATGGTCATGGGGTAAAACCCCCCTTCGGGTGGCCCGTGACCGAAAGTTGATACCCCAGACCCCCAAGGGCTGGGGGCTGGGGTGGATAGAGACCGCCCACCAATTTTAAGACCCTTTAAGATTTTAGACTCTTTAAGACCTTCCAGAAGGTTATGGAGGGGGGGTCATTAGGAGAGGGGTAAGCCCCGACCTGGGGATAAAAAGCCGGCCCTCTGAACGGGTCCAGCAGTGTTCGCCAACTCAAGCCTGAAGACGTCCGAAGACCTGAAGACTGGACCACCACCCTGGGACCCTCAACCGAGGCTCTTGTCAAAGCCAGGTTGTAACGGACCGGTGGTGTCTGAAGACTGGACCAGCACCCTGGGACTCTCAACCGAGGCTCTTGTCAGAGCCGGGTTGTAGCGGACCGTTGGTGAGGCCCGTACCCTGGCTGGGTCAGGTCGGTCTAGCCTCCCTTAGTGGCCGTGGCAATGGACCTGTGTGTAGCGTAGCCGAGGTGTGTAGGGCACGCTAGAAGGGAGGCTGTACCTCCCTTAGTGTTCCAGTCTTGTCAGTTGAGTCTGTTGGTTAATAAACGCGTTGCCTCCAGAAGCCGTATCTGTGTAGTTAGTTAAGACACACAACACTATATAGCGTTGATGTGGAGGGGAAAAGTGGATGACCCGAACAAAAATCCACACGACTATGCGGACAATGTACAAACTCCAAATATACAGGTGTCAGGTTCGAAATCGAACCCATGACCTCCTGTATTCCAAGCGAGGTAGTTAACATCTCGCTACCATGGCGCCCCATGAGAGTTTGCTCTCCATCTGTCTCGGTGACACCTCTCACACATTACCACTGTCACCGCGATGCTGTAGTGGTATTCGTGGATAATCATGGAGCATGCACAGATCTCATTTGGCATCACGAATGTCAACACAATCACAGGTTACACGACGATACACAATGTTACTGATTCAAATGCACAGATTACTGATTTTTGCTGACAAATATGAAACGACGAATCTGTCTAGAGAAAACTTATCTGTACAGCATATAAGTCTGTTTCTTTGAAATAATTTGCTTACTCAATGTGTATTTAAAGATATGCTCGGTACCCAAAGATATGTTACCTGTACAAATAACTCCCAGTACAGTATCATGATAATAGTGATAATAATCAGAGGTTATGTGAGGATACGTGTAATTACGTAATCATAAGAGGTATGAGCTATACACAAACTAAACAGTGTATCCACTCTGTGCTTTGTGGCTCGCTGTGTTGTTCACTCTCTGTCATCTCAGGACACACGACTCAGATCCACTATTGTTACCGAGTCATAAACTTTACCGCACACCCACAGCCCAGGATATAAATGCTGAGTGAAGGTTTGGTGAACTGAGTGTAACAGTGACATAGAGTCGGCACTGTAAAACGACAGGAGCCCCGCATCCCAGTTCAGATGAATCCCGACTCTCTGTGGAGGCTCTAGCACCGAAAGTGAGGTCGCTACCCCACCATGCCACACTGAGAAGCTGTTGTTATCTTTCTGTAAACTCCAGGAGACGTCATTCCCTCCCAGGCCACACTCAGCACCACGCCCTCTCCGTGGGGTCGTCCCGTACGTGACTCCAATCCGACAAAGCCCCTTGCTTCTCCCCATGTCCACCTCCCAATAGAACTGACCAGACGAGAAGCTCTCAGAGCACAGGACTTGGTAACAGCGATCAAACCGGTGTGGGTGATGGGGACGGCTCTGGGAGACATTGGTCCGCATCACCGTCCTGAGATCTGAGGAAATCTCGAGGTAGTTGTAGGCTGAGTTTGTGTCCAGAGTCGGTGAGCGTCCATCTGTGGTAATGAAAGTGACGACGCTCATGCGGCAGTCACAGCACAAGAAATGCACGCCGCGTGTACACACACACACTGTGTGTTGTGTTATTATTTATGCTATTCTAGTGATACAGCAATGCGTAATACATTAATATGAAACAAATGCACAATGATTATAACGTGTATGGCAAATGCATATAGTTAAGGGTACACACATACTCATGAATGCAAGTATGCGTACACAAATACTGAGGAATATTAGTATGTGAGCAGTCACAACAACATGTGACAGTAGCAACACAAGCCTTACAAGTACTGTGTACAAGCACACATTGTGTTTTGTATGATCATTTATGTTATTGTAGTAATGCAATAAATAATACTAACGAAAACTAGTATGTGTACAAAAATACTCGTATGTGTACTAATGAATAATACTACTAATATTACCATGGATGTGTGCAGTAGTAATGGACATTGGTGATGACGCCAGCACCACGATGTTAATGTCACTCTTGTAACGTCTCTCTATAAACACCAGAACCTCGCACAGTCACATCCACGCAGAAACATGTTGTCAATCTACAGCAGGATGAGGGCCTCCCCATCGAGTGCGGGTCATGGGTTTGCAATGTCATCTGGCACAACCAAAGGGCATTCGCCTACTGAGCAGTGCTGGTCTAGATGATTGTGTTTGTAATGAACGATGTTGACAGAGATCAGTGTCGAGCACAAAGAGAGACTCACACACGAGAGCCATGAGCTTCATTTTCACTCCTCCTAGTGAGATGTCCTCTGTGAGCTCTTGGTGACTGAATGTGGGAGGAGGGGCATCCTGGATCCCCTGCAAGCCCGAGCTCCTGCACTCACACAGCACAAGACATGGAGTCCATGAAGGGTGAAGTCCCTCTACACCCTTGTCGGGGCTCAATATTTAAATGTACATACGGTCAGTGTTATTGTGTGATGGTTCAACCAAAAAGGGAAGCATTGTTACACTCATAAATAAGAATAAATATTTTACTTCTCTAAATAATACCGTTAAACTCTATAGTAAATAAAACATTAAATAAAGTAACGTGAAAAATGTCAGTTTTAGTTTTACTTACCTTGAGTCCTCATACTGGCTTGGTTGTCAGAAGGGGGAGAAATTTGTCTCATCGGAATAGATGGCTCCGCCGAGTAAAATTGTTTTGCAGTTCAGTTCGTAAGTTTGACCGAACGTTCATAAATCGGATGGTTAAAAATAACGTCTTATGGCAGCTCGTTCATAAGTGTGGAAGTAAGTCGGTTCACTTCTCGGTCACTGTCTGTATACATGTTTAAAGTAACATTTGACAACGCTGGGGTTAAGGAGGAATGCGGTCATTCACTACTACTAACGGTTAATATGCTCGCTAAGAAATTTAGTTGAATAATGGTAATGTACACAATGTATATATGGTATAAATTATATCTGAATGATTGATAGTGATTTTAGAGAGATTCGTAAATCACATTTGTTTGAAAATGAAACAAACCAAATATACTGCCATAATCCATTTGAAAGGAATTTTGGGTTAGATCACGTAAATATAAATGTGGCGTTAAACCCGCCCCTACCCGACACAGTCAATTGGTAAGTTTTGTCACGTAAACAAAATATGCCAATTCATTACTAGTTCAGCACACCCGTGTGTTGGAGAGTAAACCTAAAACATTTAGGGTACAACATTTTGCTGGTGATTACAACTAGCTTCATCAGGCGATATACAAAACTATCAGGAATTCCTCCTGCTTCGGTCTTAAATAGAGTAAAGGTGATGTCATCAATGTGGGCCTATCAGGTGTGAAGATGGGAGGGGTTAATGTAGTTATATAAATTACAATGGATTATATTCTTAGCTCTTTCGGTAAAGTCACGTTGAAGGGAAACAATAAAAGAATAAAATATATTTTATTAGGGAAACAATAACATAATAAAATATATTTTATTATTTTATTGTTTCCCTTCAACGTGACTTTACCAATACAATAAAATAATAAAATATATTTTATTATTTTATTGTTTCCCTTCAACGTGACTTTGCCGAAAGAGCTAAGAATATGAATTTCTGCAGTCACGAAAGCTTTAAATCAAAATTTACAATGCATTATTATAATCTCAGAATATCCCGTACCTATTAGTTGGGTTATTCAGAATTAATGAAAATCCATAATTGATAGTGTTTGTACATTACGTTGATCTAAGAGAAAACGCAGCATCGATTAGTGTCTCCTCACAGTTAATCAACGTACAATGAAATACTTATTTTAAGTTAGTTTTTTATTCATGTCTTGTACCTCCGACCAGTACAGTTGGCAGTAGCTATATACACATTAAGTCACAGTTAATCGACGTATGGAGACCTGCATAGGCATGCAATTAAACAGGATGTTACTTGATGATATGCTTCTAAGCAGCATTAAGCTTGTAACAATCAGAACGGTTAAATTGTGTTTTATTTATATCAATTGCAATACATTATATAATTAGTCGTGGCCAATCGTAACTAGTTTTACAGAAAACCTCACCATTATCAAAATCAATTGAATGTCCTTGTTGGCATAACTGCCGACATACAATATTGTGTATTACGAAGCACATTACGACCGTTCATTGATTTGCCCACTAGGTGGCAGAGAGAGCTCGGGTTTGAGTCTGGGTTAGTACTGACCTGAGTTTCTCATGCAGGGGATCCTGAAAAATACAAACCCACATTTTACATAAAGTCACCTGCTGTTTACAGTGTAATGCAACATCATGGAATTAACAAATACCTTAAAATGGAAAATAGTGAAAAACAGGGTTATTTATGGGACCATTATGCAAGTATCAAAATTATTAAGGTAAGACTAGGCTTCACATTTATGGCAATAAAGGCATCACTGCTCATCCTGAGCTATTACGACTTTCATACTTGCATTGCCCTTGTACTTTTCACCTTTTAGCGTTCTCTGGTCTAACATTGGTGCAGGGACAAGGCCATGATTAAGGCTTTCTCTGGTGTAGGCCAATCAGTATCAAAGACAATGCATATATTTTGATTTAAAGCTTTCGTGACGGCAGGGATTCATATTCTTGGTTCTTTCGGTAAAGTCACGTAGAAGGTAAACAATAAAATACTAAAAATATAAAGCAATAAAATTATCACGACGTTTCGACTGCAAGACAAGCAATCATCATCAGGTGTGAAAACCACAGCAAGAAAGTTTTTTTTTTTAAAGTGGCGTTTATTTTTTATTTTTAACGTTAGCACCACGGAGAGCGATCTGGCAGTTATTCGGAAAAGAGGAGGGGGGAGACGAAAATAATGGATGCGGTCTGAAAGCCACCATAAGCGTGAACAATCAATTAAGACCCGAAATGGTTTATCAAATCCCCTCAATGATTGCTAAGCCAGAATCCATCGTCTCGGTTGAAATTGTCTCTGTGTTTGTATATGTGGATAGCCTCATGAACGAATCTCTCATGGTAGCCAAATGGCTTGCAGAGAACCTCTGTCTTGGAGAAGTCAATGTCATGTGAGCCTACTGAATTATAACAGTGATCTGCCATGGCCGAGGTGTTGGTCCTAAAGTGTTTTAGGTCTGCTTTGTGTTCACGGCTGCGGTCCGAGACATGTCGTTTGGTTTTTCCAATGTAACTACTACCACAGAGGCAACTTAGTTTGTAGACACCAGGGTATTGTATGTCCGGAATCACGGATTCCGTGATCTGGTTCTATCTGTAAAAGATGTGATTCCGGACATACAGTACCCTGGCGTCTACAAACTACAATGTCAACGTCTCACTGAGTGGTGACCCTCTCTTGGTTGTAGACAAACCGTCTGATGAACCAAGGCTGTAAGGGAATGGAGGTGGGGCCACCTGCAAGAAGGAGAGTGGGTCCTGCATGGCGAGGGCAGCGAGCAGCTGGTTGATCTCCCGCTCCAGGCTGCATACTCTGCTCTCGTAGCGAGCGATATCCGCCTGGATGCGGGACAGCACGAAGCGGCCCTCCTCATATACGCACTCCAACGCCTCCCTCTCCTCCTCCCTCAGCTGCTCCCTCCTGCGCTCAAACTCTCGACTGATCCCTTCCTTGGTCCCACGCAGAGACTCCTACACAGAGATGCGATGACGCATTATAGAATCGCTCATCATTTAACACAGTTCAATGTGAAATCATAAATCATCTCAACAGCACTATATATCCATACTCTGTACAAGCAGAAAGTAGACTTAAATTATGCAAGCATGGGGGAAATGAAACGTACCAATGATAATTAATAACGGGATTCAATTGAATACAATTCACAGGCGGATTAGAAGAGGGAGTCGTGAAGCTGCCATCTCTCTCTGTACCTGCACGCGCTGGTAGTCTTCCCTGAGTGACTGAGTATGTGATGCCGCTGTCTTCTTGTTCTCCTCTCTCCTCGTCTTCTCGAGTCTGAGCTCCTCCTGCGTGGGGTAGAGGAACAAACATGCTCAACACTATCAGCAGCTGATGGTCACCACATTGTGCACTTTCAGATGTGCTTCTGCGGCCATCTCAAACGCTTTTCCTTTCGATTTTAGAAAGCCACTAGAGTTATGCACTTTTAACTACTCTAAATTTAAAACTTATTTATTTAGAAAAGGCTTTTTGAGTTTAGTTTGGTATCCTTCCCCCGCAACTCCGATTCAAACGGTTGACTAAGTACAGTACCAAACAAGTCAAACATACATACATACAAACGTGTATGTATGAATGTGTCTCTGTGTGTGTTTCTCTATGTGTCTCTCCCCCCTGTGTCTCTCTCTCTGTGTCTCTCTCTATGTGCTTGTCTCTCTATCTGTGTGTCTCTCTCTGTGTATGTGTCTCTCTCCGTGTATGTGTTTGTCTCTCTCTCTGTACTGTATGTGTGTCTCTCTCCGAGCTTGCATTCATTCACACCTGATGACTGTTGGTTGTGTTGCAATCGAAACATTGTATTCTATAATTTATTTTATTTTCTTTCTACGTGACTTTACCGAAATAACCAAAGAATATACATGCATACAGACATACAGCTCCTCTCCACTGTTTGATTGGCTAACACATTATGTGTTATTAAAATACTGACACGTGAAGTCGAATTAACAACATTAAATGTCGTATTTACATTTCGATTTAAAGCTTTCGTGTCTGCAAGGATTCATCTTCTTTGGTTCTTTCGGTAAAGTCATGTAGATTTTTATTCTCATTCTTTATTCTCATTCTACGTGACTTTACCGAAAGAACCAAAGAAGATGTCGTATTTACAGTTTATGGACAGTGGTGCTCTTATGAAGTGCATTTAGTGCATGCAAAGTATTATGGATATTACACTTAAAGTACCATATATTATAGGTAAACCATTAAATAGACGAGGATAATTTTCATCTCCTAGATATCTGTCACTCCTCATAAAAAACAACACATTTATTAATCTGAAAAAAAATATTTGATACACTGTATGTCAAGCCCAGACCGAAGGCTGATTGTATTGAATCATTGCTGCTGAAATTATGCAGCCCCTGAAGGCACCGAAGGCTGATGGCTTGAGTAAAAACCACATTTATTTTGAGGAGCTGCTGCTCATCTCTCCCTGTCTGCAATCGGCATCACAGTGTTTTTTTATTTACATCAATTCATTCGGCAGTGAAATTAAAGCATTGCAAATCAACGCTGAACAAGGTTTCACAGGAATGCAAAAAATGCCATGTCTCAGATTAACCTTTGGTACCCCAAAGCCTGGATTTGGGGTAAAAGGTTACAAGCATCTATAATGCCTGAAATTGCAGTAATATTTAACTTTTAAATTCAAGCTGATTCTTCAAAATTCGAAGATTTAATTTAATTATTACATTTATATAGTCATTTTCATGACTAAGCAGCAGCATCAGCAGACACTAAACATAAAATAATATTATAAATACATTTTAAAAAGAATTTACATTAAAAATGTAATAATGCGGTTTTAAAATGTTCAATTTATGTAACGATGTTTCAAGAGCTGCGGTAAATGACTGGCGTTGCAGCAAATTAACTTTTTAGAATATATTACAAAATGGAATGTGGGAAATATATTTAAAAAAACACACATGGCCGTGAATTTCTCAATGATATCACAAAAGAAGCATCTACAAATAAAATGTATCAAGTATAGTTGTACAGTTAAATCCATAATTTCATGAATTCATAATTTAACTATTGCAAAACATGGCTAACCTTGTTTTTACGGTTAATTTTATCACAGAGGTCAAATCGACATTTCGGGTGGTTTATGGATGCCCTTATGAAGGTGGTTCTACTCCACCAGGTATGGTCACGTGACCTGGTTATACCAAAAGGTGATTCAGGTGGCCAGAGAACCACGATAGGGAATTAGATATCAATATATAAGTGAAATTGACCACAGATTGTTCCAAAAGTGTTGTTGTAGGTGATGCGAATCGCGGGAATGGACGGGCACCTTCTAGATTTGACCATCGCTACGTACAATGTCCAGACATTGTAAGGTGATGCTTATCTTTATGCCTTTCTTTATACACACGTAATTACTATAGCTATGGTTTATTCAGTTTTTATTGTAAATTATATTTTCGTCCGTGTGGGTGTTGCAGAGGTGAGTGACGGTGCGACCCAATCTCTGTGCTCCGGTCTTAGAGCGACTCCACTCACCTTCCGTGACTCGTGCGCATCCTCCACGCTGCTGAACTTGTGTCCTGTGTGCTCCCCCACGATGGCGCAGCTCGTGCAGACCAGGCTCTCGTCCTGTGTGCAGTAGAACCTGAGACTTTCCTTGTGCATCTTGCACGTGCGAGCTTCCACGCTGACACCCAGCTCCACCAGCTCATGGTCCTTGAACCTCGCGTTCTGCAGGTGACGCTTACAATGAGACTCGCAGAGGGACGCCTCACACGTCAGGCAGCTCCTCACAGCGGGGACATCACCGACCAGACAGCTGTCACAGGAAACCTGCGGAGCCGCTTTCTCCCCCACGCTGAGCTCCACCACGAGGTTGGCGAGCGCCACGTTCCTGCTCAGCTGCGGCTTCTGCTCGAACTCGGCTCGGCACTGGGGGCAGAAGCAGCGCCCGGCCACCTGCCAGGCGTCCTCCAGGCACCGCAGGCAGAACGAGTGGCCGCAGCTCAGCGTGGACGGGCAGTGGAACGCGCCCAGGCAGATGGAGCAGATGAGCTCCTCAGACGCAGCAGCAGTTGGGGTGGACATGGTTCTGCTTCTCTCTCAGTGTCTCAAGTGAGGGTGTTGAGAGCACAGGATGCCGTACTATTCATACAGGAAGAGAAAGGTGGAATCTCACAGCACGGTTACGAACGAGAAGGGGGTGACGCGCCCCATTCCAGGAAGAGCAGCGTCACCAATTGAATCCACCCCACACTCAAGCAGGCAGCGTCCTCTGCGTGAGTTTGACTTGCACAGTTGATTTTATTTGAAGAGGCGAGAACTCAAGAGACCAGGAGAGAGGAGTCTCCTTGTCAGCAGCGACCTGGGTCACCAACAAGACTAAAGCAAAAAGTACAGCAATGAAGCACTCTGAACAATCAGAGTGCTTCAATGTTATTTGTATACCAATTTTCCAACCACGACCTGGAAATTTGAGCATCCACGGGAAAGCACGGTGTTAACGAAGTCACATGACATTTGTATTACGTCTTTGCACGACAACATGACGTTTTGTATTGCGTGACGTCACTGTACGCTTTTTGCGGTGCCACGGTTCTCAGCGCGACAGCACCACCCGTGGTGCTGAGAAGCTTATCAGCTGTCCGTCTGTCTTGCTGTGCTGTTCTGTAATTATCGCAGTGCATAGACCGTCTGCAATGCCTCCGTCTGCATGAGTGGCTCTGCGTTCGCTAAGCTGGGCTACGTCGTGGGCAGCAGAGACCAGTGCAGAACCAGCTGCTGTTGTACTGTAATATGTTCCTACCTCGATGCATCCCACCTTCACCAACCCTCAATGGCCAGCGTGGGGAAGTGTGGTCAAATTACCTCCACGACCCACACCACCTGGGGGGAGGCCGTCATCCAGCAGCGGATTTATATCGTCATTTATCCCTGACCCAACATCACCAACCAACAATGTTAATTAATGCTTTTATTATTTTTACAATATTATCACAGACGAATGTGTGTATGTTCCTGTGTAATTTTCTCACAGCCACTTGAGATCCAAGGGCAGATTTATGGATTGAACTGCGAGTGGCACGTGCCTGAAGATGCCTGGAGCAGCGCTTTGGGAACATTTGATAGGAAAATTTCTCAACATGCAGCCCAATACAGAAAATTGCACTTGAATTAGTTGCATTTGATTTGGCCATTAATAGACGTAACTATATATCTCTCGAACGCAATGAGACAACACAATTTTAAAACACAGAAAATAAGCACACTACAGAGCACCAAAAAACAGTCTGTCAAGTCAAAGGCATCTCAAAACATCTGAGATACTTCGTGAAATGTCAGGCCATCCGAATGAATGTCTTAGTTTTTAGGCAGTCTAACTTAACTGTGAAGCCATCTATCTACATTTCGCGCTGTCCCTCAACAGCCTGAATCATGTCGTGTGATTTGTCTGATATTTTGAAAGTGCAACAGGCTCTGCTTTTGAAACAGTTGCACTGTAGGTGCTCAAAATATTCTGATAATTCGCTCTACCATGGCCGGTCTGAGCCTCGTGTCTGTGTCAAATGAACCGCAAAACTTCTCATCGCATTTTCAGCTTTAAGCTGGCTGTAGGTATCCTCAATGGAAATAATATAATAATGACCTGTTCAGCTTATTAATATCATCAAACGTAAAAACAAAAAAAAACTCCGTAAGTGTAGCATTGGCAGTGGAACGCAAGCACTGAACATATTTCACGATCATCTTGATGAGCACCGCGCGATGGAACCCGGCTAGTGATGAAGCCTATTGAAGGCAAGGGGCTGCGAGGTTGCCAGATGGCGGTACATCCTCCTTGATGCATCCTGCCTTCGTCTCCATGACCTTTCCTGCTGTTGTGACGCCGCACAATGTTGTGGGCAGCAGAAGGCAGTGCAGCATATTCCACTATTGTACAGAATGGTCAAATAACGCCACACCCCCCACTTGCACGGCCTGGATAGGCCGTCATCCCGTTGTGGATCGGAATCTACAGGCACGTGTAGAGACTGGGTTTTCCCCCCACACAAACGCCTCCTTCTAATGTAAATTGCAGCACGCTTCCCTGGGTAGTAGGCAAATAAATAGGAATATAACTAAGAATGTGGAGAATTAACCAAGGGTACTGAAACTGCTTGGGGCTCTCCAAGTACGGAGCAGGGCACGGCCATGGGCCACCTGATGTGGAGATTGTAGCTGCTGTGGCTGTATACCATGGTAGTTGAAATAATAAATATATCAAAATCTAAATATGTATTCATGAGCTATAAAGCTCTTTTTCACAGATGTCCAGTCGGGGCAGGTAAGAACGTTACAACAACAAACAGTACAAAACATGACAGGAGTGCAAAGTACAAGAAAGGTAAACAAATCACCCTAACAAAAATACAACTAAATATCCCCATCCAACAAGTCAATGTCCACTGAGGTATTAACTTATTTTTCAGAAGGCCACAAATGATAGCTCAACAAAGTGGCCCATTCTTTGAACATTTATAGCACCAAAATAATCTAAAGCCATGTTTCTAAATGTGGAGGGAAAATCCCACGCGGAAAACATGCAAACTCCAAACACGCAGGCGTCAGGGTCGGGATCGAACCCCCGACCTCCTGCATACCAGGGGATGACTATAACATCACATCACCACGGCGCCCTTTTGATACATAAATAATCTCGACTGTGTGAAGTACTTTCATATGTATCATATATATATACATAGCTATATATAAACTAACTATAAAGTAAACATCACCCGGAACGCTCCCAGATCACCGAAGCTTAGCAGGGTTGAGCCTGCGTGGTTCTTGGATGGGCGACCTCCCCGCATGAGTCAAGTGCTGGATGCTGCTGCGGGGATCTGCCATTTCAGCTGAGGGCAGTGCAGCAAAGTCCATTGTTGAACTGTAGAATGATCCAACATACACACTGTACGCATATCGCAGTCACCAAATCGCACTGACCAGACTGGTGAAGTATGGTCAAATGACTCCTACGACATGCAGCAGTCTATACACACAACTACATGTGCATAGTGCTTGTAAGTGTACACTGGGTGAGGCGGTGTTTCTGGGCTGCACATCCGAGCAGGCATCAGAAAGGGCATTTTCCCTGCAGGATCTACACAGAACCTTCTCGGCCCTCCTGCCTTCGCCTTCATCCTCTACAACAGATACAAAATGCCTCAGCCCGAATCATTTTAACCTTCCTCACAATGTCCACACTTCTGTTCTTTCCCAACTCCACTGGCTCACTGTCCATTATCGCTGTCTGTTAAAATGTCTCCCTCTTGTCTATAAATCCCTCCATGTCTCGCTCTCTTGCTCCTTCTCCTTTCTTGCTCCCCATCACTGGAACCAACTCCCAGTGCACATAAAACAATAATCTTCACAACCCGCAGCTTCCGTTGCTCTCTTAACCCCCATCTCTTCTCCCTTGCACATCCTCCTGCGACTCACTGCCCCCGCCCCCAGCTACGACCAGGCCTACTCCAACCACTATCACCAACCCAACCCCTATCACTGCACCTATCACTACCCTAACCCCTATCATTACCACAACCCTTCTCATTACCCCAACCCCTATCACTACCACAGCCCCTATCATTATCTCAACCACTATCACGAACTCTATCACTACCCCAACCCCTATTTAACCACTGCCACCTGTCATCCTCACTGTCACCATTGCCATACCATCACTTTTAATAACCCCACCCTTTATTTAAAACACTACGATCTTATGTACAATTGTATAATTATTGTAAGGCACCTTGGACTAAGACGCTATATAGATCTATATAAGATAAGAATAAACCTTGCATGAGACAAGTACTCTATACATCAGCTTATGCAGTGCACGAAACCAGTTCAGAGTGTGCTTTGTCGGGGAGGCTGACCCCCGGCTCCTCACTCGTATGGGATCCGCTGCTCCCCTCTTCCGAATCCTGGGGAGGGTTACTGCTCACCGACTCCCCCCCTCTCGCCGCGGCCCCTCGGGGCATGATTCGCGGCTGGCGCTTAGCCACCTGGGGTCAATTTACACAATCTCTGCGCACACTCACGAACACGCAGTCACCCGAAATCTGACGTCGCTCCTCTCCCGTGCCGCGCAGCAGTCGTGCGCGAGGGATTGGGAATCGGGGGTCAGAGGGCAGGGACGTCACTCGCACACGCGCAACCGATTGGGGGGTTGTCTTGGAGATTATTTAAAGGGCTGTATGAATAATCCCACGTGTACCCAGGCGAGTCCACCATCGCTCACCGCGGTCACACGCTAAACAAAGGCCGTATGGTTGATCTCACGTGTACGCCGCCCATTAACCTCACGCACACGTTAAACACCAGGGCATATGAGTAACCTCACGTGCCTCTGTATGAGCCCACCACCACTCGCCACACGCACACGCTAACCACGAGTAACACGCAGGGGCGAGCGCAAACGCATGGGTATAACGACGCAGGAACCCCGGTCGGGCGCCTCAACAGTATTACACGCGCGCAAATCCCCATACCAGGACGAGCAGACTCACACCACCATGCGCCCGTTCCACACTCGCAGAAACCACATGACAAGGTTTATTTATCACTAACAATTTATTCCCGGCGTGTCTGCGTGCTGCTATCACCCAAATCAGTATGAGTCAGTAGGGCAGGTCTAACCTATCTCCCGATGGTCTAAACCCGATCTACCTCGTCCCCTTAGAATCAAGCTCCCTAGGATCTTACCCTAAATCCTGACTCTCTCTTGCGTACTCACGGTTCGGCTCAGATGTGCGGGAAGCCGTGGAGAGGCGAGGCTGCACGAAGTCCTCGCTGGGAACGGGGCCTGGCTGCACTGAGACTTGTCTCACGGACGATCCAGTGGCTGGCACGGTGACTAATCAGATCCCCCGACTTGAGAAGAACGTGACACCCCTATCCCTACCTTCTCTCGCCTTTTATTGTTCCCTACATCAAAGATAGTTCGGCGCTGATCCACTGGCCTTCCTGGCCAATCAGGTGGCTCGGATTTTCTGCCACTCTCCCCGGGCCGGTGCTAAGACGTCCGCTTTTTACTCTCTAAACAAGCGCATTTGTCCTACCAATCAGAGGACCGGCTCTGTTTTTTCCGCCGTTCGTGACTTCGTCCCCCCCCCCTGCCTGCTGACCAGTGTTTGTTGTGTGTGCTTTTTACCCACAGTGGCTCAGCAGCCCCGTCGTGACCATGTAATTACAACCCAAGTCACGGTGCACGTTAGCCTCGGGGGAGATCGCCCAATTCCCTGGTCGCAGGAAAATGTGAAGTTTGGTCCCATGAGAGAGCTTCTGGGTGAAAACCTGTTGGCCAGGTGATCTCCCCTCGGGGCTCTATGTGGGGGTGTGTGTGTGTTCATGTGGGGGGTGGTGAGGGAAGAGCAGTGTCGGCCCCGTCACTCGGAGGTGGCGGCGGCGCGGCCACGGCGTCGGCAGGACGGCTTCGCTGCTGCGGCATCACGGTTGCAGGCACGGCTCCGACGGAGCGGCTTCGCTGCTGTGACACCACAGCTTCTTTAGCCAGACTAAAACATGTTTGTGTCAATGTGGAAACGTAGAATGGAGTGCTGCTTAAATCTGCTTTTACCAAGAGCATGTTACTAGTTTCATGAAGTGTTGTTTTGAATTCCATCAGCACTCAACAGCATAACGTAACCGATAATTTTAATTTGCACTTTATTGAGGGACTGCGTGTTGTGTTGGTGAGGTCTGGGAGTGTTGTTGCTTTGTTGCTGTCTTGCCCAAGCTTTGTAATTGATGTACTTACATCAATTACCAAGCTTGGGCAAACTTAGATATTTCATAAGTCACTTGCTGACCTTTCCTGTACTTTGTTTGCTGTTGTAAATTCCTGACCGGCCCCTACTGGACATCTATGAAAAAGAGCTTCATAGCTCATCGGATTTCTTCAGGATAAATAAATAGTCTGATTCAATGACGAGAAAGGGCAACTGAGGTCCCATCCCGCCCCGGTCTCTGAAACAGCTCGAGTTGGTCTGAGACGCCGTCACTTAATTCCCGTGGAGACTCGGGAGTCTGAACTCCACCCCTGAGTATCGCTACTCCTCAGCAGTCGACAGGAGCAACATTCTCGCGTTTTCTTCAACACTGCCAGCCGCTCACGTGAACTAAACCCTCTAGGTCAGTGGTTCTTAACCTTTACTCTAGCATTGCACCCCTTT